CCCCCCCCTCCCTTCACCTGAACTTCTCCCAACCACTTCTATATCATTGGGTTCCCTTTTATATCAATGTCGAACGCTTTACCTAGTCTCTGTTGAGTGAACCAGTATTCATTCCTCGTCTGCTCTCTACTATGGTGGTTAGATTGAATCTGATCTCGATCATCTCCCTCACCCTCGGCCTCGCCTTTCATCACTCTCTCGCTACGCCCACGCCCACCAACGTGGCCAATGTCAATGGGAGCCGCTCCGACGGCTGCGTGTGGCAATTCAGTTCGACGGTGTGTGGCGAGGACGTCAGCGATCAAACGCTCGTGTATCCACAAACCAATACCTGTGTACCTCTACAAACTGGAATGAAGAATACCTGGACGAACGAGTGCTCAAATTGGTTTGGTGAGTTACTCTCTACGTGCTTTTCAGAAATGGTGGGAAGTCGCATCCTTTCATTCGGAGCTGATGAGGAGTCTCGATTAGGAGCTTGCACCATGTGGATTCAGCCGGATTGCTCTGGAGAGTGGTCCATGAGAATCGACGACCCCGCCCACACCCATTTAGGAACCTGCTTTTCAGAGTTCTACTATATCAAGGCGATGTCTTGTGAACCGGCATGATGGAGGACGACAAACCGTCGTTGAGACTTTAGAGAGTTCAGGATTTGCAGTCATTTACTTATAAAAACCTGGGTCGCTTAGCCGATTTGTCGATATTCCCGGAATACAGTATCAATGGGAAGCGTTAAATGGGACGGAAAAGGAGCCTAGATAAAAGAAAAAAGGGGGGAAAAATACTAAGTAGGAAAGAAGGTATGACTAGTTAATCGAGAGTGCGAAAACCCCTGGGGATGGAATAAAGAAACTGTACTGTCCCTAAATCAGACATTTAAAAGAGAACCCTTCACACTAGTGTATACGCCCATTTCGTGTCCCAAAGACCTGCATAAAAATCTAACTACATACGGTCGCAACACTTCCAGAGCTTTATCACCCATTTATAGAACAATGGGCTAACTCTAAGCGTTACTTGTAACACCGACGATCGACTTCAGAGATACGCTGTTGTTATTCAACGACTCTACTATGCCCTAGGGTTCCCCGAAACTCAGACAATAACCCGACGTCATTACGTACTGTCAGCTATGAACTCCAACGCTGGCGTTACATCACAAGCGTTGACCACTACCCACAGGTCTCCTGGAGAGCTCAAGAATCAGCTGACTCTCGAATGCGCCGACGGCAAGACGATCGTGGTTGATCGCGATATTGCCGAAGTATGCAGGCTAATTAAGGATCGAGTTGGCGATCGTGGTAAGGATGCCTTTAAAAAACCCATCCCGATCCCTTGCGTCAATGCCGCCGTTCTCAAGAAAGTGATCGAATGGTGCACCCGTCACAGGCAAAATGGCGTTCGGCCCGAGGACGGCCCCCACCTTTGGCAGGAGATCGCAGGGGTCGATATCTGGGATCAGGAATTCGTTCAAGTCGATCAAGAGATGCTTTTTGAGATCTTGCTTGCGGCCGACTACTTGGACATAGAAGGGTTACTTGATCTCTGCTTTGAGACGATCGCCAATTTGATGAAGGGAAAGTCACCCAGAGGAAGTCCGAAAGACCTTCAACATTCAGAAAGATCTAACTACGGAGGAAGAACAACAGATACGCGACGAAAATAGCGGTTTTATAGGGTTAGAGAGCGAACAGGGGAGCTTCGGTTGATCACAAATCCTTTCTTCTCAAAATCTACGATGTCGCTATGATAGGGCGCTTCGTCACACAGGGATATGGTTATAAGACTATTTTGACAATCAGAAGGGTATTACAGTATCCCCCCCTTACATCAATGTTTTATTCTCAGTGCCGCTATTTACTGTATCAATCTCGGCTCTACGTCTCTCAACCATTTTGAGGCTCACTAAACCCTTCTAAGAGCAGCACATTGGGGGGCTACTCAAATTACCCTCTGACGGTCCGTTGTATTAGACAATATCCCTACCCCTATCGCCAACGACACAAGGTCAAATGACTTTCGAATAGCTTTATGGGTGCTGATCATATCCAATATCTCGGTGCTAGCGTACAGTGTAAAGAGTTATGTAGTAGTTCCGGTCAGGCGAAAAAAATACCCTCCTATCGACATGAGTGGTGAAAAATTCTATCGATATGTGATGTTAAGTCTTTATTCAGTGGTAGTATGCCCACCACACTCAGTCACTTCGTCAATAGCTATGCCCTGGTACTTTCCCAGTTGAATATAGCCAAGGTATGTTGCTCGATAGGTGGCTTCTAGATCCCCGAACACTCTTGATCCAACCGCTCTATAAGTCGCCGTATCCCCACGTGGTTCGACGCACTTGCCCAGTCGTGAGCACATCTGCCGTCTGAATCTACTGCTCGGACATCCAGCTCCTTCCAGGCGAGCAGCACTTCCACGACACCGGAGCGGCCTTGGTCAGCTGCCCACATCAGAGCAGTCTTTCCTTTCACGTCGCCGGAATTTACACCCACCGAGTGCGAACACAGAAGCTTTTCGACAACGTTCACATGGCCACGCTCGGCCGCATAGGAGAGAGCTGTCCTGCCAGATGTGTCTCCGTCCCTGCAGTCGGCTTTCGAGTTAAATTGTTCGAGCAGAATCTCAAGAGCCTGGCCTTGTCCTCTTTTGGCGACCTCTAGAAAAAGAGCCGATATGGGATCGCACCCGCCGCTCCCAGCCTTTTCTGACGTCACCCCTAGGATTTTCCGAGCTATTGCACCATTTTCTCGTTCCGCTGCCCATTGGAATGCCGTCCACTTCAGCTTTCGATCTGCGTGAGCGAGGTCAACCTCCTCACCGTAGAGGAGGTTATCCACCACATCTTCGTGGCCATTACCCGCTGCCCATGACAATGCCGCCCGGCCATCGCATGTATCTGTGGCATTGGGAGAAGCGCCATGAAAGAGCAAGTCCTTCACAATCTGTGCATGGCCCTTTCTCGCCGCCGTGACGAGAGGGCTATGGCCGGAGCCGTTTATCGTTTGGACGACTTCGTTCTGTGTTAAGAGGAGGCTGACAAGATCGTCAAAGCCAGACGTAGCAGCCCAATATAGGCAGGTAAACTCCTGGTGATCACGTAGAGCCCATGACACTCGCGATGAAAACTCAGGCTCAAGGAAGAGCTTAGTGACGTCCGTGAATCCCTTCGCAACGGCCACCATGACCGGTGACATGCCCTCATCATCTTGGGCATTGAAGTCCACGTTTTGGGCGGCAAGAAGCAGCTTGACCATCTCGACGCGCTGGTTTTTCACGGCCCACCACAGTGGAGTTCGACTCTTTGAGTCCCTAGCATTAAGATCCAGTTGAATTGTCGCCTGCGTGTCAAGAGAGAGTGCCTTTTCAGTGGCCGCTGTTAAGCCGTAGTTGGCTAGAATATGTAGGAAAGATTGCTCTGGGATATACTCTTCGTGATTGCAGAACTGGTACACTTGGAAGGAGAGCTCTCTGCAGGAAGCGTCGTTCAAGGTTTGTACGATATGCGGCCATAACTTTGGCAAGCTGCGAGGCCCTGCATGCCGAACGTGGACTGGCCAGAAAGTAGCCGCGTATTCGATGAAAGGTTGAGCCCCCACCAGGCCTTTGTATTCAGCCGCACACCCAGACTTTGTAGTTGCATTGAACGGAGCGTGTGCTTTCCTAGCACCTGTGAGATATTTTAAACAGGTCTCTGCAGCCTCAAGGTGGAACTGGTTCAATCTGTCTTCGGGCCTTTTCTGTTGAAGGTGGTCTCCCGATAGAAGATGAACGAATGAGATTTGATCCTTTTCGATCTTCAATGCGTTGTCCCAGACGATGAGTTTGCGGGAAAGGCTTCCCTCAAGGTTCACGATAGCAGCCAGTTTGGCGATGAGTAGAGGGCGTTGCATAACGGCCGTATATTTGGGTAGCGACAACCCCGTCGTTTGAGCTCTCTTTCTGCCGTTTGGTTTCCCCGTGTTCTGCAGCATGCTCCGCGGTAGATTGTTGCATGGCGGATCCTCCTCAAGCAGAGGGATCTCAAAAGTTGGGTCAATCTCCATGGATCCTTTTAGTCTCTTCAGACAGGTGAACACTTGCATAGTTCTTGATGTCGGGCTTTACTGGCAGCGTTGATAGAGAGTAAAATTATTGCAGTCTTCCGTTTGAATCGTGCCGCATCGCTATGGTTACCGCGTACGGCTGAAAGCCCAGTCAGCCCCTCTCTACAGCCTGGAATACGCTGTAGAGGCTGGCTATCATGCGGGGCTAACTGGCTGGTGGAAATGCGCGGACCGCCGTGAGGCCCGTGAGAAAGTGCTCTTTAACCTTCCTAACTGGCTCGGTGTACTTGAGGGTGCCTTCAGGGGCTGTGCCTAATCAGGGCTCTCTCGACATGCCAAAACCCGTAGGCTCCCCCCCCC